CTTTTTACTTACTAACTAGCAAAAATACCGATTTTTTTCGTAACTTAAATTATTTTTATAATTATTAAAAAATTTTAGCAATGAAATATTACAAAATATTAAAGAAAAATTAAAAGAAAAAAGTAAAGAAAAATGTGGAGGAAAAATAGAAATAAATGGAATAATTAAATATTCAGATCCGAGAAAAGGGAAAAAATTTTACGAAAAAATTTTAAATTTTGTAAAGGAAATTAACGGAAAAATAAATTATTTAGAAGCAGTTTATAAGAATTTGAAAAAATTGGAAATAATTGAAAATAAATTTGTTGAATTAAAAAAATTTATGGGTAAATTTCGTCCAATTCTCTTTGATTTTGGGGAGGAATTAAAATGGAGTTTTAAAAGTATTTTTTAAAATTTTTATGAATTCTCTGTCACTATCCTAATCTTATAAGATCGTTCGTAAATTGGAGATCGATATCTGAAAGAAATCGTTAAAAATCTGATTTTTTACAGATTTTATATGTAAGGTTGATTGTTTGGCTTTTGAAAGCATCTGGTCCATGTTTTGGCTTTTAATCTATGTTTCAGTCCATATTTTTTGTTATATAGTCCATGTATATGTCCATATTTTTCGATTAATAGTCCATATAAATCCCATCTTTAACTATGAAAAATGTAAATAAAATATTAATTTAGTTCTCGACAAGACTTACGCTAACCGAATATGTGATTTACTTCGATTCCGCGTCATTCTAGAATTTTTAAATTCGATGATTGTTAACGAAAAATACAAAAAATTTTTAGAGATAAAGAAGGAAGATGAAAATATTTTTGATTCTTTAATTAAAAATTTTCAAGAAAATATAGAAACGCCTCAAGTATTTTTTACTAAAAAATTTAAGAAAAGATTAGAAGTACAGACAACTAATTTGACGATAGAAAAAATTTCAAAATTTATGGAGGATTATATTGAAGGAAATTTGAAGGTTCTTATTGAAAAGGTTGTGGCAAGCAAAAATAAAGACAAAGAAATTTATGAAGGCATAATGAATTTGGGGTGGAATGTTAAAAATTCAATTAAAAATGAAAACAAAAATTTTTTGGAAGCTGTTTATGAAGACGGAAATTTCCATTTATTATTTAATTTGGATGAAACAAAGAATGGGGGGAATGGGGAATATATGGAAAAGTTTATGAATGAATTTAGGGAAATTATTAATGGATTTCGTGAGGAATTAATTAAGGGTTTTAAAGGTGAAATTTTATTTTAAATTAATTATTTTCCGGGAAAGTCCAAGCTCTAAAATACTGGCTTCAACACGTTTTTTTCGATATTTTTCGATATATACTTTTTCGATATTTCCAACATGCCTTTTCCCAGATAGCTTAACTAAAAACAAGAAATAAATTCTTCTGTCGATACCTTAAGTGCTGACAGGATGGCATACAGTGCTTGGACGCTAGCACCAAAATTCGTACTCGGACCTCATACTTGGTACGAAGTATGAGTGTACGAGCAAAATTGAAATATCCAAGCACTGATGGCATAATAAAATTGGAATTAAAAAATTTCGGCAGATATTTCTCAAAAATGTTAACAAAAAGCCGCCATTCCCAATTTGTTGCACTATTTTTGTTGAAAGTTTTACAAAATATTTTTATTTATAAAAAATTTAGTTGAAAAGGTTAATTATGTGGAAAATCCTAACAACTCTGCAGAAAGAATATGTAATCTTCTTTTCTTTTATACAACCCTAAAATTTATAAAATTAATTATTTCAAAAAACGAAAAATTAAAAAATAAATTTTTTGTAAAAGAAGGAGATGAAATAATTGTAAATTATTTAATTGAAAAATTTGGAAAATATAAAGAAAATCCAATTGAATTTTTTAAATTAAAAGTAGATGAACATTTTGAGGGAAAAATACAAAATATTTTGGTAGAAAAAATTTTGAATTTTGAGGGAATTATTAAAGAAAATATGAAAGCTTTTATTTATCAATTAATCACTAAAAAGCGAAAATTGGAATGAATGTAAAAAAGAAAGTGAGGAATTATTAAGCGAAAAAGTATTTTGATTGGAATGGTTAACTAAAATTTTTTTTAATTTTTTGTGTGACTGACAATGTGTGATTAAAGGGTGTCACGACAATTGCGGATACACGCGAACTGAAAAAAATTTCATATCCGCAATTGTCGTACAGCCGATTAAAGACGAGACTATGAGGATCTTGTGAAGAAATCTCGAAATATCTGTATCTTTATAGCTGTAATTTTTGTTGGATATCTCGTCTCGGTCTTGTCTCTATTAATTACATATTTTATTATCACTAGTAGGGTTGGTCCCCGAGCCTTCGGGGTTGAAAAAGTCGGGGGTCGGGGTTTTCGGGGTTGACAAAGTCGGGGTCGGGGTCGGGGTTGCTCAAATTGTTCGGGGTCGGGGTTGCTCAAATTGTTCGGGGTCGGGGTCGGGGCTGAAAATAATGTCGGGGTTCGGGGTCGGGGTCGGGGGTCGGGGTTGAAGTGAAAATTTACAAAATCCAGCATTTTTATCAAACATTACTGTTCAAAATCAACATTTTTATAAAAAAATCAACTTAATCTTCATTATCATTATCTTCACTTTCTGAATCCGATTCGATATTATTTGAAGGCGCAAGAAGTACTTTATCCAAGTTAGCTTTTACTACGAGTATTTGCCTGACAGTTTTTCCTGACAATCTAAAATTATTATTTTTTTAATCACAAATAAATAAAACCTATTCCTGAGAGTATTAGCATATATAAGTCCCGCTTTCGAGAAAAGCCTCTCAGAACAAATGGAAGTTGCGGGAATACAATGCAACATTTGAGCAATTTTAGCCATTTCAGGAATGAACTCCTTATTTAATCCATTATCCTTTAATGATTTTTCAATTGAAGCACAAATATCTTCTCCCGTATGACTATCCATAGGCACAACATCGAACACGAAATCGTCTCGTTCGAATGATGAATTTAAGTGATGCACTGTTATACTTAACGTGTTTTATTTTTATAAAAATTAAACTAATAAAACCTGAGAAGTGCTGGTGACTTTGTCACCTGTGACCAACCATCAGATGTCAAAGCATATTTATCGTTTCCTATTCGTTGAGTAATTTTAAGCCTAATTTCTTCTGCCATTGAAGGAATAACAGTTCTTTTAAAATAATTTCTTCGACGTAACTAAAAATATGTTAATGATGATTATTCTCTAACCTATTCTGAGATATTTTAGAAATTCTTCTTTGCTAAAAATCACATCCCTAGTGATTCACTAGGGATGTGATTTTTAGCAAAGAAGAATTTCTAAAATATCTCAGAATAGGTTAGAGAATAGGAGAGAAAAATACAGGGTGTTTCAGCTGAAAAGCGCTATTTGAAAAATCCATAACTTTTTACACCATGGACAGATTTGAATGAAATTTGGTATTTTGCATCTATATTTTATGGCAATTTTTTTGACATAAAAATTATGTCGAAATTCGAACCCTAACCCCGTATTTCAATTTCGTACAATTTCGTACTCTACCGTTCTCTTTTCTTTCTCTTTTCATTGCGCGCTATCTTAGTGCATTTATTTTCCTGCGTATGGCGAAGAGTGGATACTGTATTGAAAATGTAGTGTCTATCGCTTAGTGTTTACTCTAATGTCTATCGTCCCTCAAAAAAAAACAAAAGGAAGTAAGAATGCTTGTGCGGAAAAAGGGAAAAACAGAACGATAGAGTACGAAATTATCTCGGGTTAGGGTTCGAATTTCGACATAATTTTTATGTCAAAAAAATTGCCATAAAATATAGATGCAAAATACAAAATTTCATTTAAATCTGTCCACGCAGTAAAAGTTTATTAATTTTTCAAATAGCGCTTTTCAGCTGAAACACCCTGTACAAAAAAGGAAAGAAAAACATCTTTTTCTGGAATTCTAGGAATATTTTGGAACGGGAAAAATTTTCGATTTATGGGAAGTTATCGTAATAATCTTGAAATAATTATAGTAATTATATGGGAATTTTCTTGAACCAACCTCCTTTTTGTAAAATCATGTCATTAATATAGGTAGAAAATCATTAATATAGGTAGATTTAAATTTCAAGAACAAAAACAGGCAAAACTCTAAAAATCAACACATCCCTAATTATCACAGTAAAAACATTTTCTAAATATTTTCATTATTTATAAAATTTTATTTATTTATTTAAAATTATATTTTGGTCGAACATTTTTTTCGAGTTTTTTTTTAAATTTTAAATCATTTTATATTTTAAAAGATAAATTTTGAGTTTAGTCTAGATTTATTAATAGCGTCCAAATATTATCAAATTATAATTTGATTTTCCAACTAAAAATTTACTCCATATAAAAAAATTTTTTAATTTCAAAATTAATTTTCTTTAAATTTTAACTTCTTTCTAAAAACTTTAACTTCTTTTATATTTTAAAAGATAATATAAGCATACACTACGAGAGGATCGAAAAATAGAAGCTCTTGTGGTTCCATGTATTAGAGCATTAACAGTAATTATACTAGATTTATTAAAACCATCCAAATATTATCAAATTATAATCTTTTTTTAAACTAAAAATCTACTCAATATAAAAAATTTTTTAAATAAAAATTTCAAAAATAATTATTTAAAATTAAATTTTCATAAAAACTTCTAAATTTCTGAAATTTTCTTTGGCTCCAAAAATTTTTTCCAAAAATCGTTTATTGTTCCAGAAGACAAATTTCTTGCTTCTCTAACTTCTTTTAAACCTGTAAAATAAATTTAATAAATTAATTTTTAAAACATTCAAAAACCCTCAAGCATTGCTTTTTCGATTATTTTTGTTGTTGATTTATTTATTTGTTTTGTTAAATTTTGTTCTGGATTGGTTGGGGAAAGGACAATAATTGATGAACCTTCATTCTTGTTCATTTTTCCTTTTTTATCTTTTATCCGGACAGGTATTGAATTATTCCTTAAAATTAGTTTTAAATTTTTTAAACCAAAGACTATCCATTATCGATACAAACTTTTTCGCATTTAGCCCCGCTTACAAATAAATTAATAACCCGATTAGGGATTTCCGCAAGTGAAAAAAAATTTCCCAGCCGCAATCTGCAATTATGGACAGCTCTGAACCCGATACACAGACATTCCCACGAACTTTTGAGGAACATCCTTAAGATTCATGGATACTCCTCCCATCCTTTGAATAATTTCAGATTTTTGGGTCACTATTTTTGTGGTTTAGCATCATGAACAATATTTTAAGGAATATTTTTGATAAATGACAACTCGTTTGAGTTTTTACTATTTTGAAGACTAAAATATTTTGTGAAATTCGGTTAAAAATCGGTTTAAAAAATAATTTCCAACCATGTCAAATAAGTCAAAAAGAAACGTTCAATTAATTCAATTAAAGACACATTTGGATATAAAATATTTATTTTTGTTAGCATTACAGAAATTGAATATTCGTCTAAAAATTCGAAACGTTCTTGATTTTTAAAATTATCTGAAAGAAACTTTTTTTTAGAAAATTAAAAATTCTACAAACTTTTCGCCCAACGATTTAAAATAATTAAAGCATTGTTAAATTTAATATTATTTTTAATGTCCGGCAATCCTTTTATAAAATTATTTGTTGCGTGTTTGTATAAAGCTTCTTTTGTTTCTATTGTGAATTTAATTCCTTCAATATTTAATTCTATCATTTTTTGAGTTTTATTGGTGTGCTTTTGTAGGTGATTAAAATTGAACTTAAAAATTAGTTTTGTAAATTTATTGCTTTATATGTATTCTCTACTTGAATGGTAGTCGCCGTATTTTTAAATAAAACCTCGGATAATCGCAATAATTATTTTTGTTAGCAGTATAGAAATTGAATATTGACTAAATTGTAATTGTCTTTACAATTTAGCGAAATAATACAACTTGTTAACCATACCTTCCAAAAATAATCTAATATTTTGGGACAAATCTTTGAAATTCTCATTTTTGTGATAATCCACAATTCCATTCTTAAGCTACAATAATTTCATTTTATCCACACGGATACTCGGCAAAATTCTAGTTTATGTTCTCTTTTTCCCAAATTTCCCAGGATTCGGAATTGTTCCAGAGATTGTGAAAATACCCAGATTTGGAACTTGAACTTTGAAAAGAAGGGTCGGATGAATACCATGATTATTACTAATGGAGACACGAAAAACACGAGATCTTGAACAAAAATTGATCTCGAACAGTACAATATAAACATTAAAAACATTTCGAACCTCAAACCCCACAAATCCTTCTCTACACAAAAAACAATAGAGGGAATTGTCTTTACAATTTTTCGAAATTAAAGGTTCACAAATAGACCTTTCAGAACCAAAATATTTTTCAACTAAATGGTCATCAAATACAATATTAATTTCAACATCTTCAATTAACCAAATACCAAACTCGTAAATGCCCGTAATTTTAAAGTCGTCTTTAAATCCATTTTTAGACTTCCATTTATTTATAATTTTAATTAATATTTCCATTCCTTTTTTAATTATTTCCTCGTCTTTTTTTATTTCCAAAAATTTTATAAAATTCTGATCGAGGCTTCTTTCAAATATTTCAATTGGTTGGAACCCTTCTGGATTCAAATAAAAATTTTCTTTTAGTTCCGGGTTGTCTATATTCAATTGCTCTTTTATTCTCTTCATTTCCCCGGCACGTTTTGATATTTTATTTATCCAATTAATTGTATTTTCATTATTTAATTCAAAAATCATTCGGACTATTTCAAACTGGTTTCCTTCATAATTCTCATTTCTTTCCAAAAGTGCACTAGAAAATGCATCGAGATGAAGTTGGCGTCTCATCTGCGAATAAAAAATATTGTAAGGCCAGCGTGGTGATGGGATTGGCTGGTTGAGCGATTAACAATTGTGACCGGAACAAGACGTGATTTAAAACAATGGTTGTCGAGATTTTCGAGATATCACTGATTATCATACGCACCAACATTCCGGTCTCTAGTTAACGTTAGCAATACTCTCAGGATCATGTCCCACCAAATCTTTTTTTATTTTCTGGGATATGTCGGCTTTAAAGATCGAACCCGATTCCGTTTATAAAATAACTTAATAATTTATGTAGTTTACTTTTACAATAGTACTTGACATAATTATAAGAACCCTCTGAATTAAGTACATCTCATTTTAAGAATTAGATCCCAAAACCAGTCCCAGCGCTATCTAGTTGGATCATATTAGTCCAGTTAGGCCCTGTTCTCCTTCATCTTATCATGCTCCAACTGATCCTTCTCTCAATGGACATAAAACCAACCTTTAACAGTTCTTCCTTCTTAACATTCTTAACTTTACATTTAAATTCGAATATTCCATTCATTCTTTTAATTAAATCAACCAAAATACAATACAAATCCCTTTCAATTTCATCAATTTCTTTTATTCCTCCAACTTTTTTCTTAAAATCTTTATTTAATTTATATTCCCAAGTTCTTTCCAATTTTTTTATTAATTTATTTTTATTTTCCCCATTTTCCCCCTCTTCTTTTGGAAATAAAATTTCAAAAACTTGGGGGAATTTGTTCAAATATTTTAAAAAATCAAAACGTTTCTCCAACAAATTTAAATAAACAATTACATCCAAAAACTTTTTTTCCTTCAAATTTTGAGGGTTTTCTATGGCTGTTTTATATAAATTTTTTAGTTTATCTTCCCCTTCCGTTCCGAGGAATTCTTTCAAAATCCATGTTTGTTGACTCTCATTTGCTTGAAATTTTTTATTATTTCTTCCTTTTCCGATTTTTAATTTGCCTGAGAAATTCTCTTCGTTTTTAAAATTTTTTGGTGAAATTTCTATTTCATTAACTTTCTTTTCTATTTTTTCCTTATCTTCAATTATTCTTATACCTTTTGATTTATACTTTTCTTCTTCCCTCTTCTCTTCCTTTTCTTCATTCTTTTGTTCCTTATCCTCTCCCTTCTCTCTTTCCCTCTCCTTCTTCTCTTTTTCTACTTCCTCTTCCTCCTCTTCCTTCTCTACTTCCTCTTCCTTTACCTTCACCTCCTCCCCTTCATTCTCTTCTTCCTTCTTCTTCTCTTCACCAATCTTCCCTAAATCCCTCATTTCCTGCTCATCTTCCACTTCAAATTGCCCTACATTGCTTGATGTACCTTCAATTTCCTTCACCAACTTCAATTTATTTTCATCATTTTTACTCATTTTATTTTTCTTCTTTTTCTTCTTCGATTTATTCTTTTTTGATTTTCCTTTATTATTTAATACATTTTTATCATTACTTTTATTTTCATCCTCTTTAGAATATATTTCATTTGCCATTCCACTTTCTTCTCTTCCTTCCTTGTTAAAATTTAAAATATTCCTAATTACCCTATCCATTCCATCATCTGGTACTATTCTTAGAAGATTTTCGATTATTGAATTGTCTAATTCAAATGCTGAAAACAGAATTAAGTAAATTTTGGATTAAGGATTTGATACAATGAGGGCTTAACCAAATACCTTAACATCAAATCCCCAATAACACAACTCTAGTCAATCTTGGTTAAATGGTCATACGACACTTGCAGATATGACATTTGCAGATACCGACACTTGCAGATATGACACTTGCAGAACAGACATTTGCAGATCCGACTTTTGCAGATATTAATTTTTGAAAAAAAATTTAAATTTTAAAAAAAAATTTAAAAATTTTAATAAATCAAAGGATATAGTATAGTATACCGGTGGAAAGGTTTTGATATAAGACCCATACCAATTCGTCTCGACGAGCTGAGTCGAACGGCACCACTCTTTTTCCGGAGATTCTCTTTTTTCCAAAGGTTCAAAATGTTCAACGTAGGCCTATGGAGCGTCGGCGAGGCGCTTGTGCAAAACCCCGAGCTTCGCGCGGGGTTTTGCACAAGCGCCTCGCTGGGAGTCAACGGTCGCTGGGCTCTGAGCTCGTAACATGATCCTATTCTTATCATCGATGAGATGGGCATCCCAGGATTCCTTCGCAGCAACAAACACTCCACAGTGTATAGGTAAGGTAAAAAAGAGAGCGAAATGGGTCTAATCTGCAAAAGTCGGATCTGCAAGTGTCATATCTGCAAGTGTCGGGATCTGCAAATGTCGGGTCTGCAAGTGTCGGGTCTGCAAATGTCATATCTGCAAGTGTCGTGACACGACAATAACAACTCTCTAAAACTTTTGATCAAATAAAAGGCGGTTTTAGCTGGAGCTCTCGACCGTATACCCTATCAGCCATATCAACCGTATACCATTTCTTTTTGCACCAAAGATGAACTTTTATCCACCTCATGCTTTTCTGAAGCTTATATTTTCACTCTAATATGTTAACGTTCCTTGTTATAATCTCATTCAACTCAGCAAATGAGCTTTTTGAGAATCAGTTTAGGATAAAGCCCAGTTCTGAATATTTGGTGTTTTGTGTTTCTATGGTTAGCTCCCTGAGCTATACCCAAAACTTGTAAAGTTTTGATAAATTACCAACTTACAATTATTAACTAACTGCCAAAACTCTTCATCATTGTTTAAAAATTTAATTAAATTATTTAAATGTTCAGCTTTAATCCATTGTTTAAAGAAATCCGTTGGTTCTCCTGAATTATTGTCTCTTTGAACGCGTAAATCATTAAATATTTTAATTAAATCATCCTCTATTATTTGTTTATAGGTTAAATAATCATTATCTGACGAAGATTGAGACATTGCTTGCTTTTTACTTTTAATTTTAGCTTTTATATGGTTTCTATTCTATAATTTTATTATATAGTTATGTTTGTGATAAATAAATTAAATAAAGATCCCTTCGGATATCCGGATTTGTGTTCCGATATCCAAGACACATTACCCCCGGAAATAATTGTTTAGACGAGTTTGTTAGATGATGAGGGGGGTGATGGGCCTAAATCAGGGTTCTTAATCGTACTTTTTTAAAAGTATTGTACTTTTAAATCAACATTTAGTATTGAAAAGGAAATTGGGGAAGGATTGGGCAAAAGAAGTGAATTTTTGGCTTAAGGCCTTCGAAATTTTCAAAATTTTCGCCTGCGGCGCTGAAAAAGGAAAAAATCTGGCTTCTTGGCAGCGCCTGCGGCGCTGTAAATGAAAGAAATTTTTGCGCCCGCCTCTGATGGCAATTACTACCCTTTCCTATTTACACCCTTCCTATCCCTTTTTTGATAGGTGAAAATCAAAATAAAATTCAAGTTAGAACCTCTATTCTGTATTCTTTATTAGTTACACTCATTTCTTGGAATAAAAGACGGATGTTTCCTTCATAAAAACTATTTACACTATTCTCTGAAGCTAACAACTTCTCATAACTCAAAACAAAATTCATCTCATATTCTATTATATTAATATGACTCTTTTTTATATAATTCCAAACTCCATAAAAGATTTTTTGATTTTCTGAATTATTCCAGCCTCCTTTTCCGTCTAAAGGATTTACTTCGTCTTCCATAAATTTATACCAAACAAGGCAGTTTGCTGCAAGTTCATTAATCTTTTTTATTTTTTTAAACTTTTCATCATTACTGTTAATAAGTAAAATGTTCAAATAATGCTCCCTAAGACGTTCATTGCCAGAATATACTTTAAAATATAAATGAAATCTAATAAATTAAGAGAGTGTTAAGTTTTAGCCCGGGCAGGCAACGATCTTGGTGTAAAATCGTTGCCTCCCGGGATGAAGTTTGTGTGGGCAAAATACCCATCTCTTTTTTGTTAACCTATCTTTTTACCCCTCTCCCTGTTTTCTCTCTTTCTAAATTTAATTTTTTATATATTGAAGTTTTGCTGGAATTTTCTATTCGGCAAACCTTTTCTTATCTTTATTTGCACAGCTCACAATTTCATCATTTTTTCCCAACCCTTTCTATTAATTTCTGCCCATCGGCAAAAACCATGGCCGATTGGCCCCTTTATAAACCCCTCCCAAACCCACCTAAACATTGTCTTTTCTAATCACTTCTACAACAACAAATCTTCTTCTAACCTTTTCAGAAATTCTGTTAATTTTATTTGTGAAATAAATAATTTAAATTTATTTTATATTACTCTTGGTTTGGTTGGTCACAACTTTTCTTACTACTGGTATTAGCATCAAAAAAATCTATTTGACTAGTACCATTCCAACCTCACGCCAATACTTAATTTTAATCATACCTTCCTCATCTAGCAGCTCCAGTTCTTCAATAAGTTTATTAAACATTTCTTTATCCACAAATAAATTTAAAATCAAATATCTTGAAAATTTTTTCTTTTTAAGTTTTTCCTTCAATTCTTCATTATTTTTCAATGCTTCTCTTAAAAACCCATAGTGGTATTGTCTCAAATAATTTTTCATTTCCATTAAAATATCCTTCCCTTCTTGCATTTTTATATGATTATTTAATCTTTCTATTAAATTTTGAACATCTTTATTTGTCCTTATTTGCATTAAACTCGTCGCATTTAACCCAATGAAGTACACAAAATTAGATAAATTAAATAATAATGTATTGTCTTCTTTATTTTTTAGCCATAAATAAACACTTTCTTTGTTTTCTTCAAATTTTTCTTTTAAAATATTTAAATTGTTAATTTTCTTGGTTCGTGGAATCAAAGTTTTAAAATATTTATTATTTGTTAATAATGCAGCTAGTTGTAAACGAAGTTCTTTTTTTAAATGGTTCGCACTATTTAGGGAATATTCATAAATTTCTTCGTTGTCTTTCTCGTTTAGTAAAAGTACATCTTTGTAGAGATACAAACTAACTTCTGGAAGGACTTCGTCTGTAATTAGATTAAAGTAAAATTAAGCGTAGTTGTTGTTCAGGCCTTTTAGAAGCAACGGGCAGTAGGGACTTAATTTGTAAGTAGAAAATATTTAAATTGTTAATTTTCTTGGTTCGTGGGCTTAAGTGTTCAGTATGGATCTGGGAAGTAGCTTCGAAACGGGCTAAGGTTAATCGGAGCATAGTTTTGAAAAGATCCAGGGTTGGAAATGGAACCACTGCTTTGGAATGCTTGGAGCATTTGCTAAGCTTTTTGTAATGATTATACATATATCAAATATCTTTGCCTGGGTGTTAAAAATTCTTCTGAAATTCACAAAAAAGCCAGGAGGGCTAAAACGGTTGAGGGCTTTGAAGAAATTTGACGACTATGCCTTTACGAGCATTAAAATGGTTCGGACCACAAACCCCAAATTCTCAGCATTGCTTAGTTCCCCACAAACATAATATCGTTAAATATGATAAAAATAAATTTTGATATTTTTTTGATTTTTAATGAAAGCTCTACCTATTCTCATCAATTTCGGATATTCTTCTTCCAACTGAGCTAGAAATTCGGGTCCAACCAAGACCAGAAATGCTCGTTTGGATGGATTCTGATTTTCCATAAAATTATAAAACTCGTTAATTTTTCTGTCTAACACCATTTTTATATTTGCTAAATTTATAGAATAAAATTGTTTGATGCAAGAAGTTGAAAGGTATTTTTCGATAAGTAATTCAACTTCTTGTTCATTGTTGCAGTTAATATGTTTATGCGTTGATTTTTCATCCTAATAAAAAAAATAACGTTAATATCAGGAATCTTTAATTCCTGTAATCAGGAATTTACAAAAATTTTTTATTCATGACAACTAGCGAGCATTGGTTCTAGAGGAGCATTCATTCTCCCATCATTAGTAGTGTATCGTTGGAACCAGTTCTGAACCGGTTCCGGACATTTATCGGTTTCACGGTTCCAATTCCAGAACTTGAACTGGAACCACATAAGTTACGGAACTGGAACCCCCTCCTCACTGGAATCGAGTTACAAAGCAAATTTGAGATGTTAGCTTGATAACACCTAAACGCTGTCTACTATCTATAGAAAGAACAGCAATCGGTAGAGCACCTGAACCCTGGCAATTTAAAATAAAGCTTTACATGTCTCATCAATTTATATGTTGTCATTAATTTGTCTTTGCACACTTTATTCTTCAAAATTTCCTCATCCTTAACAAATTCATCAATTAAATTGTGTATTTCACAAAATTTTTTCTTTTCATCTTCCAAGCACTTTAATTTACCCTCCAACAATTTTGCTTTAAAAATATATTTATTAATAACACTTCCAACCTCTTCATTCCACCCTTCATCATTTCCAAAAACATATTTATAAACTTGATAGGCAGAATTATTTGAAGGGCGTATTTTAAACATTTCAATAAAATAATTATAAAATTTTGAAATTATTTTAATTAAGAATCCTCCTAATAATTCCTCATTTCCCTCTTCAAAATTTTCAATAAATTCTATATAATCCTTAGCTGTAGTTAATATTTCTTCATATTCCTCAGCTGCTACTATAGCTAATAATTCGTTACGGCTTGCTTCTTGACTATTTTTGCATAATAAAATTATTAAATTTATTAAAAGCAAAGCTTTTTTAATTTTCATTTTTACTATTTTAATCTAAAATTTATTTTTTTAATGAGTGTTACTTCAGCGATCTTCTAACATTAATAGCTGCCTGGAGAGGCCGCGTTAGCCTTTAATCCTGCCCTAAAATTATGGTGTGTAACATAATTATAAAGGAACCCATATTTTCGGTCATATCTCCTTTATAATTAGGTATGTTACACACCCTAGACATGAGACAAGCTTAAGGAGTTGTATGTAGTTTAATTCGCGCTATGAGACTAGAATGATGCCTTTTCCATGTTGGAAAAGTCAATTTCCATGTTGATGCCTTTTCAATGATGCCTTTTCCTTCCGTCAAATTCCGGATTATTTGGTTATTCCGCAATGTCTTATATTTTTATATTCCCTATAAATTTTTGATTGCGCTTTTTATAAATCGGCTTTAAACATACTTAGCTTAAACTTTGACTTAAAAACGGGTATTATACATATAATTACAAGAACTATACAAATTTCCGAAAATTGTTTGGACCTTTTCCCTTGAACATAATGTTGTAGAATCATTAAGGAATCTTAGAATTTAATCCTATTTTATGTATAGAGTAATAAAATAAAATTTATTATTTAAAAAATAAATAGAGAAATAAATATTAAGTGTCAAATGCCCTTATCGGATGCCCTTTTATTTAAAATTAAGAAATAGGCGGCAATACGTCTTGAATAATAAAGAGAGTAAAATGCCCTTATCGAATGCCCTTTTATGTATTAAGAAATAGGCGGCAATACGTAATGAATAATAAAGAGAGTAAAATGCCCTTATCGAATGCCCTTTTATGTACAATTAAGAAATAGGCGGCAATACGTATTGAATAATAAAGAGAGTAAAATGCCCTTATCGAATGCCCTTTTATGTATTAAGAAATAGGCGGCAATACGTAATGAATAATAAAGAGAGTAAAATGCCCTTATCGAATGCCCTTTTATGTACAATTAAGAAATAGGCGGCAATACGTATTGAATAATAAAGAGAGTAAAATGCCCTTATCGAATGCCCTTTTATGTATTATCGAATGCCCTTTTATTTTTTATTAAGAAATAGGCGGCAATACGTCTATTAATCTTTAAAGTATTTTCACGTGAATTTACTCAAAAAAGACGGTTAAGGGAAAAAACAATTAAGAAATCTAATGTTGTATTTCTATACATGATGAAATTTTTATAGAAAGAAAAATGTAAGTATATTGTTTTCGCCATTCTCAGGGAATTTTTCTATATTTATGTTAAAACTAGATTTGAACCCGGCCCGAGACTGGGCTTTCCGGGCCAGTTAGCCGGAAAGCGTGTATTTTGATAAACTCCAGTTTTTCGAGGTTTATCTCTCAGTCCGGCTCGGGACGCATTTGAAAACACTAGCCATGCCCGGGTGTTTCTAAACAAATGTAAAATGTAGCAAAATATTAGTCAATTTGCCAGTTCTGGCTTTTTATACATCCAAAAACCCAAACAATTTGAAAAAAACCAAACAATTCTAAAAAAATACTTTTACTAAAGTACAGAAATTAAACTGTCTAATTATTTATAAATAATTTTTATAAATATAATTTGTCCTTCGGAATAACAAAATGAAAAATTGTAATTACCGAAGTATAGAAAATTCTTAATAGGTTTTTGGAAACTAAAAAACGCAGTAGGTAATGGTGCAGTGATTATTTTCTAGAAAAATCAACTTTTATCTTTTTTTTAAAGTGCTTTCTCAGCTATTACAAAAAGATCAAAAAATTTTTCCTTCCTGCCTAGGCAAGTCAGCATCGTTCAACTCGATCTTTTGTTTTTAACATGTTTCTTTTTGAACTGTAGAATATATCAATCGAATCTTATATCAATCGAAGCATGAACTTTAACTCCATTTATAAACCCGAAAAAAAAACAATGAAAATATTTAGAAAATGTTGCTAATGTGACAAATAGGGATGTGATTTTTATGGAGTTGCCTTTTTCCCTAAACTTCCCAGGGTCTTATAGGCACGATGCTTTGCTTATTCAAATTATGCCAATTGGTATTTTCCTATTTTTCCCATGTTAACGATATTCAATTTCAAATTCAAGTTTTTTACGGATATTTACTTTTAGAAAATCGGACACGGATTCGTATGCTCAAAAGAAATGGTCATTCTCTCCTATTCAAATTACAAATTAATTTTAAATTTGACGGGCCTTGAAATGCCCCAACCGAAACAGAGGCGATCCATGTACGGGACTGGAATGGATCATCTAAAATTAGATTGCCCCTTCCCGAAGCTGGGGGACTTTGGTAGTATCAAGAGTTACCCCCCAAAAATTTAAATGAGTTTGATTATCGTAACATTACAAAATTTATGGTATTTTTTTCCTATTTTCATGCTTTTGCGTTCCTAATTTTCTATCTATTTTGAAAAAATCTTCCTTAAAAATAACATCCCTTATGAAAATGGTAAATAAAATGTCTTTACTAGAGACTGGACCAGGACGAGATTTCAAACAGAAATCTTGTATACCAAAATCCATCGTACTGCCCTCCCAGTCCGGTCTTTAGTTGCACATTGTTTCTGTCTAAAAATTATCTAAAAAAAGGTACTTATCGGTTATACGCCCACAAACTGAGTGTCAGCCGAATTTGATCGGTTCTAACTTTTTGTTGCTTGATCTATTTCAAATAAAACTTATACCAATCGAAAGCACTCGATAAGAGGAATCTTTTCTCCAACATAATGGACCAAGTCTGATCACCAGTTAAAAAGTTATAGCCAATCAATGTCGGATGGTACTCAGTTTGTGGGCGTATAACAGATAAGTATTATACCAACTAAAATTTAACAACGGTTTTTATCGAATAGATTTTCCTTAAAAATTCCTCATTCTCCCACTTTCTTCTTGTTTGACACAACTTTTTCAATAACAACTTTTAAATTTCCTTCAATATAGTCCTCCATAAATTTTGAAATTTTTTCTTTTGTTACTTTAATTGTATGTTCTCTATACTTATGATTGAGTTTTGAAGTAAAAAATACTTTAGGCTTTTCTATATTTTCTTGAAAATTTTCAATTGAATAAGCAAAAATATTTTCATCCTCATCTTTTATCTCTAAAAAGTTTTTGTATTTTTCGTTAACAATCAACGATTCTAAAAATTCCAGAATGGCGCGAAATAGAAGTAAATCACATATTCGTTTAGCGTAAGCTTTATTGCGAACTAAATTAAAATATTTTTTATCTACATATATTCGCTTAAACAAATAAACAATTTATGTATAATTCCACCGAAAATAGGTCGACCTTTTTTGTACAGGGTGCGACAACTTTTTCGCCACTTTTGTTTTGAGCATACCGTAAATCCTCTAAAATAGCCCCAGCCTCTAAGATAACCCCAGCCTCTAAAATAGGCCCCTCTAGAGGTCGATCGAAAAAAATAACCCCATGGGGTTATTTTAGAGGATTTACGGTATCTTGCTATAAAATCAAAATAAATTATTGACATCCTAAAATGTCCCTATAAATATTCAATTGGGACAAGTGTGCGGCAAATGGATTTTTCGGTATCACTACCGTAAGATATTTTCCAGAATACCCGAAAATACCAACATGGTATTTCCGGTAGGGAACAGTGCCGGACATTAATTGGGTTAATATTAGACATGAGAAGGTTACAGGTCGAAACATGTCTTGAAAAATAAAAATTACTTTGAAAACTCCGTTTCAATTCCTCCTCAAAATCAGAGAGAATTGGACGAAACTTATCCATAAATTTTTTAAAATTATCAAATTGATTTTCAATCATTTCTAATTTTTGTGAATTTAAATTGATATAAACTGCTTGTAAATAATTTATTTCTCCGTTAATTTCCTTTACAAAATTCAAAATTTTTTCGTAAAATTTTTTCCCTTTTCTCGGATCTGAATATTTAATTATTCCATTTATTTCTATTTTTCCTCCACATTTTTCTTTACTTTTATCTTTTAAGTTTTCTTCAATGGCTAATAATGCCGCGCTATAAGTTTTATAATTTTTAATATACCTAATTTGAGTGAAAATTTTGAGTAATGAGTAATTTTAACTATTCAGAGAGCTATGGCTCAAAAGTCGGACATCGTAATTCTGATCGACCTCTGGTAGAAACAAGTTGCGCCGGAAGTTCCGATTCCGGTAGGCCGAAAGTTCCGGGATTTTATGGACCGGTTCCGGCCAAATTTGCGGTTCCGGCTTAACACTAGTAGAAACCTTTCTATTTGCCTTTATTCATTTAATTTATTTTAATGAAAATATAAAACAAATTTCAAACTTATCAATGTCTTCCTTTTTAGCTCTTCGTATTCTATCTGTCAAATCTTCATCTTCTTCGGCTAAATCGTCCTTAAATAAACGGACTTTTCTTTCATGCAGTTTTACTGCAAATGGAAATTTGTCCACATTAAAATGTTTTTGCATATAACTTGGTCTTATATTTCCATATAAATAGAGAACACATATTCCATGATAAAACTTTTCCTAGAAAAATTTTTTGACATTTGCAAAAAAATTACATAAGTAATAAAATTTTGGCATTTTATTTAGCACAAAGACTACAAACTTAAATTAATCATAGATACCGTATTTTCTGGGACTGGGCTGTTTTGGCGCGTGGCCGTAATGGCGCGAGCTTATAAGATAGCGAGTCGGAAATATTGGATGTCGGAAATATATGTAACTTCGGAAATATTGGATGAAAAATTCTGAAATTTCTGGAAAAGTAGCCAAGGATGTTAAAGAAATTTGAGAAAAATTTTGTAAATTTAGGTCTCGCCTAAGTGCCACTTTTTTGTTCTCGCGCCGAAACGACCCGGCGCCAAAATGACCCCAACCCTATTTTCTCGATTAATTCCCCTCACTTGAATAATTCCCCATCTCAATTACATAATTCCCCATGCTAGAGTTGGGTTGTTGTTTGTTTTTTTCCCCATCCCTAAATACCCTTCTGCACGTTCAAATTCCACTCCCTCGAATAATTCCCCCCTCTCGATTA